CCCCTAAAACGTGTGATGGAGGCTCTTATTTATAGATGAGTTTGGCTGAGGTTTGGGAGGGAAAACAAAAGAAATTTGAACAAAATGGGTATGTTGTTCTTGTAGCCTTCGAGGTACAGTACCTTGTATGCTATTTTTTTGCAAATATGGGGGCAGCGTGGCAGGACTGGTTTATAGCAGTTTTGGAACATTGTGGCCAGTGCAACAGATTTGTACTTGATACTACTAGCATCTGGACTACTTCTCCTTTGTTTTGACCAACTGACTATAGCTTTCGACTATACTTCTTTTCAGATAACAATGTTTCTTTCAAAATGTCCTTCGAATGGACCACATATGCATCTTGCAATTCTTTAGATGGGCCACCAAGGTATAACCTTCGATTGGAACATCCAGACATGTCATGGTATAGAGGCTATGCATGTGTCGAAGGGAAGCTGCAGGAGGCCAGTAGGAATCCACCAAGTTCTAAGTCGAAGGACATCAACAGGGGCTTTTCTCTCTTTGAGTCGAAAAAGGCTACAAGAGACTCTTCCTCTTGGAGTCGAAAAAGGATACAAGAGGCCCTTCCTCTTTGAGTTGAAGGAGGCTACCAGAGACTTTTCCTCTTTGAGTCGAAGGAGAATGTTCCAAAGGGAAACCAAACTCAGTCAAAGCTAAAATGGAGGAGCAACTTCTGTTGAAGTTAAGCACCAGTCGAAGCAAACTTATTTTCTTTGATTTTGTCAAAAGCAGTCAAACTTATCTGCTTTGCTCTTTCAATAGCTTCCTCCTTGACCTAATGCTTGAAAATCCAATATGATCCATGGCGACTTGAGCTGATCAAACCTTGTGCAGTTTTGACCCAGTAGAAATCTTGTGAGGAGATTCTTGAAAAAGTGAGAGGGCAAATTTTGGGGTACAACAATCATGAATATGCTAAAGTATAGAAAGCGATAAACACATACCTCGAACGTGTACAAAACTTTAACAAAATCATTACCACGCATTCGGAAGTTGAAAATGATCAAACTTGATAAATCACCTTAATACTCTACAAGTTACCAGACCAAAACTTGAGTCCAAACAACAACAAAAGAAATAGAAAAATAATACTCCTACAAAATTTACAATATATACAATGAAGAAAACTCCTTAAGTTAAACACGACAAGCTTTCGGAAAACACAAATTGACGTAACAAAACAAATACAAATAACAATATGAAAACCAGATGAAAATGAATTAACAAGTAGAAAAGTGAAGATTTGAAATTCAGAATATTTCCTTGTTTCAACTTGTTAAAACACAAATCACCACACACATAAACAAATACAAACAAACATGCTTGTTTTACGTCGTAAGCTCGATGCCTTTATTGTGCGAGCTAGTAACCTCCTCTCATCATGCCATGGTATTGTCACACAGCGCAAACCTAAATAAAGTGTCCTAACAATCACACAACAAACGTTACGAAAACGAGACAATTAACAACAATTTGTGAAAACACATATATACACAAATATCATATATAAGTTAATGTACAATTTTTATTCAACATATACATTAATTACAAAACTCAAAAATAAAAAAAATTATCGCAATGCGAAGACAATAGAACCAATCTCCGGCAACGACGCCATTTTGCTGGAGCGGTTTAGCGGCAAGCAACAAAAGTTTTGGAAATATTTATCTGGGAATTTATCGTGTCCATATAGATTGGCTATTGAATTTCCGTTTGACAAATCTTGCGTTTATGAGTTTGGGATTGAATGGGTTTTGTAAAGAAAATGTTATCAACAGAAAATAAATGTAAACAAGAGCAAAAACTAAGGAAGAACTTATCAAGCCTACATATAATCTATCCATCACAAACTTAAATATATCGACCAGTTACATTCAACCTAACAATACTCATCAATGTCACTATGTATCACTCACAACCTAAGTCATTTCTAACCCAAATTGAGAGACCGACTGTATCACCATGGAAATGATCTCTCTACCTCCTCAACAACACAGAAGACAACTATGTAATCGCACTGACGATCTCTCAGCACAACACAACTACACAGAGGCATTAAGCTCTGATACCCAAGTAGATGTCAGCACTAAATCTATCTCTAGAGTTCAGAAACTAGCAGATAATCATCCTAGATAAGAATCTAAGCAATATATGTCTATAACAACTCAAATCCCTAGCACAGAGCAAAAATCCAGAACAACAATCGATAAAGATTTGTAAAGCAAGTTTAATATAACATAATGGGCGACAAATATACATAAGTTCAGAGTAAAATACATGTACAAACCCAACAAAAGAGAAATACATAGAGAGGAAAAGAGATAAACCACAAATCTTCTGGTTTGTCAGCACTGGTCAATGAGAAATCCACCTCCAATCATCCATAAGCAAAACCCTAGTGTTGTTATCTAAGCTAATCCACCCAAAAAATGAGGTGGATGGAGTTGAGAGAACAAAAATCTCTCCCAAAACCAACGCCTAACAAATGAAACAAATAGGAAAATATAAAGAAAATCTGATCTGTGAGAATCGCCTGGCGAAATAAAGCATCGCCCGGTGAAAGCTCTTATTCACTTGGCCCAGAATAAGCCACTTCCTCAACTGATCAAAAATATCCTTCATCGCCCGACGACCATCATTCATCGCCCGACGACACTCCTTATTTTTGCCTGGCGACGCAGCAGCGAAGCAAGGCAGGGACTTCAACAAAATTGTCTTCAAATTTTTGCCCGACGAAGGTCCCCTTTCGCCTGGCGATCCATGACAGGAAAGCAATTTTTGTTGCTTTTTCTGCATAACTTATTATGGCTCAAATCTTGGCCTTATTCCTTTATTTATCCAAAAATGCATCTTGGAACTTTATTCCTATTGCTCCAATAATGCTCAAATACCTACAAAATAAATACAAAACTATCAAATGATATACTTTATACAAGAAAACACATTATACACAAACTAAATGTATTTACACAAAAGTCGGAATTATTCAACAATATTAACAAACAAAAAGTCGATAAGTGCAACAAAACTTATATGCAAAAATAACTACAATTTGCACTTATCAATCACTTAACCGGAGCTCTCGATACCAGATGTTGGAAATCCACCTAAACCTATGATGAATTTCTATCAATATTGATGAACAAGATTGATATCACCACACAATGACAATGAAAAATAAAAGATGAAGAAAGAAAGAAAGTATTTTTCTGCAGAGTTTCTCTCTGCTCACAAACTATGGAAAACTTTATTATTCACTTTACAACTGCAAAATTGTGTGAATACGATTTGATTGACTTGATTACAAAATAGGAGTTATTCCATTTATTTATAGATTTATGTTAGCTTGCTCTCTAAACCAAAAGCCCAAAACTACAAAAGGCCAAAATAGCTATTTTGGAACTAAATCAAATCTATTCTATTTTAGATCTAAATCAAATCTATCTAAATCTAAAGTCAAATATGTGTACAGTATCTTCGACACACTATGTTTCGACACTTCCTTATCTTTGTCGAGCAAACTCCTTTAACACAAGGAATTACTTTCAACAGATGTCATCACAACAATTGCAACTGCGTTTACCATATTTAATTGCAATATTAAAGATTGTGACACGACTGCAATTTAAAACTTGCAAATGAGCAATGTACTACCTCCAAATTATTAATAAGTTAGACATTAAATTTATACGAACCAAAAGGAGAAACAGGTTTGGAAAAGATGAACATAATTTAACGGTCATTATTCAGATTCAAATGCAAAGGCGATGTCACAGTTGTTTATGATATAGGATCCGTTTGTTTTGATTTTTTTTTTTAAATGATTTTTATACTGTAACATAATTTTGTGTAAAAAAAATTTACAAAGAAATTTTTTATAAAAGTATAAAATGAAAGTTTGATTTAAATAGTTATTCTTAAAATATTATTTTAGGTATTTCATCTAAATTTTGTTTAGATATCAAAATTTCAAAAAATCATTTAATTTTGAAACTATTTCAAATAAATTTTCATAAAAGTCATTTTAGGAATACAATATTTTGAAATTTTTACAATTTTGATTATGTTTTGGTCTTCAATAATATATGTTTATGTTATAGGATGTCAAAATTAATATTTCAATTTAGAAAAAACGAATATAAAAAAACTTGTAATATTTTAAAAAAATGATTTTGTAAAATCTATTTTAAAAAAAATAAATTATTTTTTTAAAACTGAAACAAACAAGCCCATCGTTTATCCATGATTTTACCATCCAGTCACTTTGGTGTGGGAATTAGTGAGCACCTATGTTGCATGGATACAGGTAATTTACTAGCACGAGCATACGATATGAGGTTTTAATTAAACAAAAACATATAAGGAGACTTCTTTTCTAATTTCCTACTCTCTCCGTTTTAAAATGAATGTCACTTAAAGTTTTGTACACAGATTAAGAAATATAATAATATTATCGTAGAACATTGCACTTTTACTAAATTAGTCTTCTTAATGTATTGGAAGTAGTGTAAAGTGTAATAATTATAAGACACAATTGAGAAAATGGTAATCATTTCTGGATTGAAAAGCGAGAATGACATTCATTTTGAAACAAATTTTAATAATTAAAACGATACTCATTTTAAAACGGGGGAGTACATCACATATAGAGTATTATTCCGTGATACGCTATTTATCATAAAATGTGGTCAAATGGCCACTATAAACAGACCTATAAGACTATTGCATAGCAGAATTTTGACAATCAGCTATTAACCACGCGGGCAACACCATTCTGTTATGGCGCCACTGTTTAACAGTGATATCTGAACTTTTGATAAAGAAGTACAACCATTAGCAGATGGCAGATTATGGCGACCAGCCAAAAACTAACCATATAAACATGGTTTGCAACCTATGGAGGCAGGCACAACATCCCTCGTGCCATGGCACGGCTATGACAGAAATATTACAGCACAGCGAAAATGTAATCACTGATCGTACAGACAGGTGCCCCATTACTTAACAACTGAAACAACACCTGTGGTATGAAGAAAATACCAAATGCTCATCTAGAAGCAAAGGTGAAATTGGGTTCCATTTAATATGATCAACTATCTAAGGCAAAGGGACAACAAGTAGGAAGAACAAGTTAATGCGAAATCAAACATGAAAACATGATACACCACAACAAAAACAACACGCATGCATACACTGGAATTGTACATCATATCACAGAAAATGACCTTCTACACATCATCACGAAAATAAAAAAAATAACAGTAGTATGCAATGGGGAAAAAAACACAATCAATCTTCTTACCTGCATCTCCATGAGCAAAGTCACAGTCATCACCAAAGGGGCAGCTCCGGGTATGCTTCCACTTGAGACACGGCTTAGTCTTCCAATAAGTGCCCCTAGGTGGCTTGGTCATAGTCTTATTGTCTTCCAAATTATTACCAATAGTTCCAATGCTGATTGAAGATGTCTCTCTTCTTGTTTTCCAAGAATCGTCTCCAAACTTAGCAGGATCCTCGTGAAGAAAGCTACAATTATCACCATAAGGGCATTGCTCACCATAGTAATACTTCTTGCACAGCTTCATCTTGTGAATGATTTTATGATCATCACTCCTATTCCCGCTTAATTGCAGCTGTTTTTCAGTACGAGGACGGACAAGCTCCTGCCAGTTTGGTGGTGGCTGCCTTTACTCTTCAATCCCATGAGCAATACAATTTTCACCATTTCTACAGCTACCCAATCCGAAATTAAAACAAATGCGGGTCTTGAAGAAAATATTGTCTGGTCGTGTGCTTGGTGGAGGGTGATTCATCCTTGGAGGAGGGCCCATCAGTGCATTGGAATGGTTGTTGTCAGACATTCTTGGCCTTTTGAAGGAATGTGAACTATATACATTGCTGAACGCGGTTCAAATCGTTCATTGTTCATTGGGAATTGAGGCCTCACTTTATTGATATCAATGTTGGATGAGGCGAATTGCGGCGGTGACATCCTAAAGGTTGGAATGTTGTCTGGATAAGTCATGGCTATTGATAAATGCAACAAAAAAAGATCAAATTCAGTGAAATTTTGAGTCTTTTTTATTTGATTATAGTTGATGAATCAGATCAACATTCAAAGAAAATTTGGAAATGAATCAAGAACTTGTATCAAGAATGATATAGTGACATGCAAACGGAAAGAATGTTGATCAAATAATGAAATGATCAATGCAAAACACTAAAAAGAAAAGAGAAAGAAAACTGCGCTGTTGAGTGAGAGGCCTAACTTCGAGGTGGAGAAAAATCAGTACATGAATTTTTGATAACCCAAATGAGAATATTGGGAGAGAAACACGATAGAATGATCCAGACTTTGTTATTTTTTCAGGGTTGAGTACAGTTTGATAAAAAGAGTGAAAATTATATATAGTGTCCGGTTTGAAGGTTAAATATTTTTGTTGGGCTAACAAAATTCAAAACTTAAAGCACTAGAGCACAATGATTTGATAAAAGAGCAACAAACTAAGATAGCCTTATAATTGTAAGAAGCTTCTATAAGACCAATATTTGAACATCAAGATAACTAGAAAACCTGTTTAGATTGACTTATTGAATTATCTATTAGAAGATGCAAAGAATTTACCATTTTTTTAACTCTCACTGGAAGATGCATACCAAGAGACAGACTTCAATAAAATAAGGTTGAATCCAACACTCCTTACTATATATATATTAATTTTCTAACTCATTAAAACATGCCTCTAACTCAAATACTGAGTAGTAAGAAATTAAAGACTGACAATCCTTCAACCACATACCAATTCTCAACAATAATCCAAAAAACCAATATATCGGTTATATTTATAACTCTGACGCCAACTAAGAGACAAACTTCACTAAATTGGGATTGAATCCAACACTCTTTAAAATAAATATAACATTTAATTTATATGACTTACCAAAACTTGGTTATAACTCTCATAGCAGAAAAGAGTTTTTTAATACTAATCTCTCTTTTCATGCTTTGTACATGCCTTGAGTACCATTTGCCCTCTTTTACATGGAACTTTCCTTTTTTCAAAACAAAAAAAACTGTTGAGAAAAACAATCCATTCTAATTCTAAAAAAATAAAGACATTGTGATAATCCCTCAAACACATACCAAAAGCATTAACAAGAGACCAAATAAGGTTTCAATAACCATTCACATGCAGATCACTTGTGTCAACTAAGTGAATAAAGACTGCACTATTTTATTTAGCTAACATTAACTAAACTCCAATCACCATATTCAGCCAGACTTGCTCTCCGAAATGGTGGTAGAGTTGTCATTAATAAAACATACTAGTTCACTTAACCAACTTGTGTCACATGTTGGCGTTTCTAGTACCGGTTTTTATAATATAGGAAGAAAAGAATTCTCATACCAGCCGATTTCATTGCACCCATGTTGAGTGCATAAAATATTTTAATCCAAAACAGGCCAATGTAAGATAATGGTACATATAAACAGCACATATATGCTAATCACATTTTCATATATCAATGTAAATAAACAGCACGTACATGCTAATCACATTTTCATATATCAATGTAAATATATAGTGTATATATATCATATAACTTATTTAAAATATGAACTTTGTTTCAGAAATTTGACCTATGTTCACCCAACCTAGACCCCCACAAAAAGTTTTTGAATTTATCGAAACACCCTCAAACTGACAAATGCACGCGTTTGTGACCATAAAAATGTACTAATTACCGGTAAACAGAATCCATAAAAGGTAATTATATAAATTGATCACCATAGCCAATGACCATGTTCCCAAAATTATTTTAGATGTGGGCTTGGGCTGTTTCCAAGAGCAAGAAACTCAACTCAGGGCTCTCTTGGCAAATCAGGACGATCAAGAGGTAAATCATCAATCCAATCGCCATAAATACGGTTGATCTTGTTTAATTTCTTCCAAAGTAATTCCTTCTTGGCTTTCTTCCCCTCTTCCGTCGCCACAGGGACACTTATTGGTAAGGTAGGTGCATTATTAGCAGAAGAACCTGTAGTTGGTAAAGTTGGAATGACAGGTTTTGTTGAATTTTCTATAGCAACTATAGCTTCCGCTTCAATGCCTCTACCAGGAACTTGTAACTCTGAAAAGCAAAACAACCAATACTTCATGAGTCAGAAGAAGATACATGAAAACCAAACCGTTTCATTTGTTATAATCATCTTTTAATTTTTGTTCACAGTATGCTTTTATAAATTATGACACGAAAACGAACAAGATATAAAAAAGTCCATGACCACAACTGTGGCTGAGACGTAAAGGTTTTGATGTCTCGCCGTTGCAATTACAGCTAGATTAACCATATTTAACTGCAATATTTAGGATTGCAACATAGCTGTGATTTAAAACTTGCAAATGAGCAATGTACTGTTAACATATCAAGATTGAATCACAAAACAAATCTAAGAAAGCAAGACTAGTAGGATAAGAATAAAAATATTTACGTAAAAAGAAATAGGATTATACAATGTAATAGGGAAAATATAAACATTAGAAAAAAGGAATGAGAAAAACTTTAATTTAAAATTTTTTACTATACAAAACGACAAATGTGTTTTTATTTATTGGACCAGGTTACATTCCAAAAATACTGGCGTGTACTAAAGTGGAGTATCCAAAAAAATTATCTGAAAAGTAATTTGGTTACCTTCTTGTGTAACCACGAGAAGGTGATAATCATGTGAAGGAGTACGACGCTGTAAAGTTAGATGGAGTAAAAGTGTTGTCTATGTTGGATGGCGAATTATAAAAACACATTTACAAACTCCAAAAATCCACCACACAAACTTGCCATTGCAGCCTATGGCAATGCCGTAGGGGACATCCTTGTACAAACTGCTTATCAGCCACGTAGAGGAAGTTGGACAAACCGCTGTTGTTCGGCCATGGAACATGCTATTTATTACAAAATATGGTCAAATAGCCACTATAATGGCCACACCATTCTGCCATGGCCACACCATTTAAACTTAGATAAAACAGTGGTATTAATAGAGGATTGCGGCGAACAGCCAAAAATTAGTCATATAAACATGGATTCGCGCCCTATGGCGGCAGACACAAAATCTCTCGCGCCATGGTGCCACAATGACGGAAATTTGACGACCTGACAAACAAGTATTTGCCAATCATACAGATAAGTGTACAACACTTTTAAAATGAAGCAGCATCTGTTGTAAAATAAAATACAAAACTATCATCTAGGACCAGCTTTTCCTAGAAGCAAAGTTGAAATCGGGCTCCATTTAATATGATCAACAACAAAGGAAGCAACACAGATTCAAACATCATATTGCAAAAAATGACTTTCTAGTCATCATCACAAAAATAAAAAACAGATTTTGAACAAAACAAAACCAGTCTTATTATTATTACCTGCATCTCCATGAGCAAAGTGACAACCGTCACCAAAGAGACAGCTCCCGGTATTGATCCACTTGAGACATATCTTAGTCTTCCAATAAGTGTCCCTTTCCTGCTTAGTTACAGCCCTACTGCCTTCCAAATGATTAGAAGTTTCAATATTGATTGCAGAGGACTCTCTTGTTTTCCAAGAGTCGTCCCTAAACTTGGCAGGATCCTCATGAAGAAAGTTACAGTTATCACCATAAGGACATTCCTCCCCATTGCAATATTTCTTGCAGAGCTTCATCTTGTGAATGATTTTTTGACCATCATTCAAATTCCTGCCCACTTGCAGCCGTTCTTCAGTACGAGGACAGACAAGCTCCTGCCAGTTTGGCGGTGGCTGCCTTATCTCTCCAACCCCATGAGCAAAGGTACAACTTTCACCGTTTCTACATGTACCAAACCGGAACCTAGTACAAATACGGGTTTTGAAGAAAATCTTGCCCGTTTCTCTGTTTGTTGGAGGGCTCGTCAGTGCATTGGATTGGTTGTTGTCCGGAACACTTGTCCTTCTGAAGGAATGGGAACCATTGGATGCCGAACGTGGTTCAAAGCGATAGTTGCTCATCGGGAATTGAGGCGTCACCTCAATGATATCGCTGCTGCTAGATGATGAGAATTGCGATGGTGATATCTTGAACGTCGGAATGTTTTCGGAAGATCTCATGGCTGCTGATAAAAACAAAAAAAAAGTGAAATTTTGATTGTTTTTTGTTCTTATCAACGTTGATCAATAAGATCAAAGTTGAGAGAAAATTTGCAACTGAGAAAAAAAAACTTGTATCAAAGATGAAACAGTGACATACAAAAGGTTACAATGTTGATGAAATGATGAATGCAAGAAAAGTGTACTGTTGAGTGAAGGACCTAATGACAAGAATATTGGGGGAATGACCTAGACGAGAATTTTGGTAGAAACGTTTATGGGATGTTCCAGGTTTGGTTTTTTTTCAGGTTTGAGTGCCGTTTTGTTTAAAAAGAGTGGAAAACGTATATATAGTGGGCAGTTTCAAGGTACAAGGTTTTTTTGTTGGGTTAAAAAAAACCTAGATGCTGTCACAATCCCGGTGGACTAATACATATCATCATTGTCACTAATTACACTACTAGGGGGTGCGGGCAAAATAAATGGAGTAAGAGAAGTTTACTTTTCAAATATGTAATTAGTAAAGGACTTGTGTGTATGTCCAAAAGTCGCGCAAAGTCGTGTTTTTTTAAAAAGATTTTAGATAACATGTTTTATATGTTTGTAGTTAGAATGTGGAAAATAAAAGTGAAAACTCTTCTCTGTTTATGATAATTAACTTGATATATGACTTGAGTAATACTCATACTACTTAAATTACATTTCTTAAAAAACATAAACATTACATCAATATCTAGTGTATAGGACCTGCACCAATAAAATGGTTAATAATACTAAATCGGATGGAATAATATTTTTAGTTGGATATTCAAAAATAATTTGAAGTACAATATATATGTTTATAACCTTTTTGAAGATGTAGAAAAATTAGATGTATTGTGGCTATCGAGAAGAATAGTATTTATATAAAGAAATTGTGGAGATGTAATAAACATTTTTGGTTAAAGTTGAACAAATGATACAACATACGTTGTTTCTATTGGAAATATAATTTAGTTAATGTCTACAGTTCTCTATGTTTATTCTTTAATAGGTTTTTTTTTTACATTTTCAATATTTAGTATAAATATGTTATACTAGCTATCAATATTGTACCCAATTCTATCTCCTCTATTTTATAATACAATGGTAGTCTTGTTATCATTTTTGTTCAGTCTTCTTCTCCCACTTCATTATCTTGCACCAACAAATTGGTATCTAGAGCACTTGGTTCTGTTTTTCCTGGGAAATACGAGTGAGTGTGAGCTGTGTGTTTGATTTTTGGTTCATTGATTTTCTGTTGAAATCTTGAACAAAATCTGAACAGAAACTGATTCTGTCGGTTGGGAAACAGTGTGTGTGAAGATCTGAAAAACCCGTGCAAGGTTTAAAATGAGTGGGGGCAGTAGTTTGAACACCAAACTCTCAGTTTTTAATGGCAAAAACTGGAACAGATGGATGATACAAATGCATGTGTTGTTTGGTGCGCAGGATGTTCTGGATCTGGTTACAAATGGTTATGTACCAGCTGCAGCAGATGTAACTGAAGAACAGAGAACTGCTGAGAGGATGATGAGGAAGGGGGACCAGAAAGCTCTGTTCTATATCCATCAGTGTGTGGATGAAAGTGTGTTCGAGAAGATTATTGATTCAACAACGTCAAAAGGGGCGTGGGATTTACTGGTGATATGTTACGGTGGTGATGCATCAGTAAAGAAGGTGAAGCTTCAATCCCTGTGAAAGCAATATGAGAACTTGAACATGAAGAGCGGTGAGAAAATTTATGAATATATCTCCAGAGTGATTCTGATCACTAACGAGATGAAGGTGTGAGGAGAAACTCTGTCTGAACAGGTAATCATAGAGAAGATTCTGAGATCGCTTACTCCTAAGTTTGATTACATTGTTGTCTCTGTTGAACATTCTAAAGATCTGGAAACCATGAGAATAGAAGAATTGCAAAGCAGCTTAGAAGCACAGGAGTTACGTCTGTCTTAGATAACTTCTGATAGGAAAGCTGAGCAAGCTCTGAAGGCTTCTTTTGTCAAGAAATACCAGAAGCAGAACAGACGTGGTGATAGATTCCAGAAGTCAGAAACCTCAACTTCTGATGATAAGAGATATCATAAAGGAAATGAGAGGTATGACAAAAGGAAGGTTCAATGTTACTCTTGTAAACAATTTGGCCATTTTTCCAGAGATTGTAGGTCAAACAAAGAAAGGAAATCAGAAGAAGCATATATGGATAAGAGAAACTCTGATGATGAACCTGTGTTACTAATGGCTTCTGATTCTGATGGAAAATGCTCAGAAGATTGGTGGTATATGGACACTGGCTGTTCAAATCACTTAACTGGAAACAAACAATGGCTGACAGATTTTGACTCCAGAAGGAGAACAAAGATCAGATGTCCCGACGATAAGTATCTTAATGCATAAGGTATGGGAGATGTCAGAGTTAGAGGGAAGAATGGGAAAGACATTCTGATCAAAGATGTTTGGTATGTTCCCGGTATTAGAAGCAATCTGATGAGCGTGGGTCAGCTGATTGAGAAAGGTTTCTCAGTTGTTATGAAAAATAATCTTCTGACATTGTATGATTCCAATCATAAGTTGATTATGAAGTCTGAACAAGGAAGCAACAAAACCTTCAAAGTGAATGTAGAAACAGCTGAAGCAACGTGTCTTAGTGCATAAGGCATTGAAGGTGACAATAAGTTGTGGCATAAGAGATTGGGGCATTTGAACTATAGAAGCCTAAGGCATCTATGTTCTAAGAAGCTTGTACATGGTATTTTGAAGATTGTGAAGCCTGAGAAGTCATGTGAGATATGCATGAAAGGCAAATAATCCAGATTGCCATTTGCATCAGAAGTATCCCCCAGAGCGAAGCATGCTCTGGAAGTAGTACATTCTGATGTGTGTGGACCATTTCCAGTACCTTCACTTGGAGGAAATAAACATTTTATGTCTTTCGTGGATGAGTTCACAAGAATGACATGGGTAACACTCATCAAGTTTAAGCATGAAGTGTTTACTGAGTTCCAGAAGTTCAACGTGAAGGCTGAGAAACAGAGTGGTCAGAAGTTGAAGATTTTGAGAACAAATGGTGGAGGTGAGTATAACTCTACAGAGTTTTAGAAGTTATGTGAGGAGAATGGAATAGAACATGAGGTTACTGCTCCATATACTCCTCAGCACAATGGTCTTGCTGAAAGAAGAAATAGAACTTTGCTTGATATGACTAGAAGCATGTTGAAAGAGAAAAAGCTACCTCACGTGCTATGGGGAGAAGTTATTGCCACATCAGCATATATTTTGAACATGTGTCCAACGAAGAAGCTGAAGGAAGTTGTTCCTTTAGAAAAATGGACTGGAGATAAGTAGAGTGTCAGTCATCTGAAGGTGTTTGGCTCTGTCTGTTACAAACACGTTCCAGAAGCTAGAATACAAAAATTGGATGATAGAAGCAAAGTAATGTTGTTGGTGGGGCACCACAATACAGGTGCGTATAAGCTTTATTGTCCAGAAACTAATAAAGTTGAAGTCAGCAGAGACGTTATGGTGAAAGAGTCTGAAACATGGGATTGGAAAAAGTCTCAATCAAATTCTGGTGTAGTGCCAACACCAGAGTTAGCCTCTGAAAATGTTTTAGAAAGTTCAGAAGATGAATCTGACTCTGAAGATTCTGAAGATGAGTCAGAAGAAGATTTTGATAATGAATCTGATTCTGATCCAGATACTGATGATGATCTAGAATCTGGTGGTGATCATACTTCTGGAAGGGAAAATTCTGAAGGTGGTAACTCTGAAGGTAGTAGTTCTGGTGCAGCTTCAGAACAAGGTCAAAGACCACAGAGAATCAGACAAAAACCAAGAAGGTTTGCAGACTTTGACATGTTGCAGGATAATGAAGTTGACTCTAAAGGAGAAGTTGTTCAGTGTGCCATGTTAGTAGATTCTGAACCAGTGGGCATTGAAGAAACTCTCAAGAAGAAAGAATGGTTGAATGCCATGAAAGAAGAACTTGAGGCGATAGAAAGGAACAAAACATGGAAATTGACTAAACTTCCAGATAAGAAAAAAGCCATCAGCGTCAGATGGGTTTTCAAGTTGAAACTTAAGCCAGATGGTTCAATTGGCAAGCATAAAGCTAGACTAGTAGCTAGAGGCTTTCTTCATAAACCTGGGCTAGATTACTTTGAGGTGTTTGCGCCTGTAGCTAGACATGAAACAATCTGACTGGTGATTGCTTTAGCTGCAAATAGACATTGGCATTTAATGCATCTGGATGTGGACTCTACATTTCTGAATGGTCCATTACAGGAAGAAGTTTATGTGTCATAACCTCCTGGGTTTGTGAAAAGGAATCAGGAAGGGATGGTATACAGGTTGAATAAAGCTCTGTATGGACTGAAGCAAGCGCCTAGAGCTTGGAATCTGAAAATTGATTCGTTTTTCAAGAAGCGGAAGTTTTAGAAATGTGAGATGGAATATGACGTTTATGTGCAACACTCTTATAACCATATGATTCTGGTGTGTCTCTATGTTGATGATATTTTGCTAACAGGTAGTTGTCCAGAAGATATAAAGAAGTTCTGATGAATGAGTTCGAGATGACAGATATAGGAAAAATGACATATTTCCTAGGGATAAAGATTATGTACTCGAAGAAGGGTATCATTCTGCATCAGTTGAAGTACGGACTAGAACTTCTGAAGAGATTTAAATTGCAAAATTGCAAAGTTGCTGTAACACCATCAGAAACCAATCAAAAATTGGATTCTGAATTTGATGGTGATTCTGTTGATTCTACAACCTTTAAACAATTGGTTAGTTCTCTAAGGTATTCATGCAATACTAGACCTGACATTTGTTATGCAGTTGGATTGGTCAGCAGATTCATGAGTAACCCAAAGTGGTCTCATTTCCAAGCTGCTGTTAGAATTCTAGATACTTGTTTAAATTTCTGGGAGGTCCCATTTCCTGGAGTTCCAAGAAACAACCTGTCATGGCTCTGTCAACATGTGAAACTGAGTATA